AACGTTTCTAATAGAAACCACTTTATGTGCGGTACAAGATGTGAATCTCCACATGACTATTAAGAAGCTGAGAAATCATTGAAGCCAACAATGGCATGGAAGAGCTGAATAAGCCTCTGCCATGATCTTCATTCGAAGACTTATGCTCAAAGCATTACAAATGGAAGTACCTCCCGAACGAGGATTCCATGGCTCTTTGGCTCGCTTCTACAGACCGTCTAATCATGAAAGATATTGCCCAAAGCAAACCATGATTACGTCCATGAATGAGTATAATTCTGAAGTTTATAAATCCGATCGAATTTTGACTGGAGAATACTTTTCTCGTCCTTCCTTGTTTCTAACTCACCCCTGAAGCAACAGTGTAGATAGCGGAAGTTTATCCAATTCTCAGATCTGATTACTACCACAAACGTGAGAGAAAGGTATGGACCCAGTTTGGTCAAAGCCTACCAAATGGTGGTGTACTGCTTCGGCAAGGATACACTGAATGGCATACTCTCTCACAATCCAACTTTGAGTTTGTTTTGACAAACATATGGTAGAATCAGGGCCTGCCAAGGTGTGGCATCATGCCCGACGCGTGATCCTTGTCACCTATGACCTAAAACTTCAAGAATACGGGATAATATTCCCAAACCTTAACCCTGCAGAATCTACTTCCGTCTTGATGGAATAGACCATTGGTTATGCACCTGTTCGTGCCCCTACCAATGTTGTTGAGGAGTACCATTCTAGTAGTCAATATGTGAGATTGATTTTGCTCCACCGAATATCGTTGGAATAGCAAAATTGTGACATGAATGGCCTTGTTGGCCGAATCCACCAAAGTAACTTTGATTTACTTTGTGAACATTTTTCCATGTTCTTGGATTCAAGTTTGGTGTATGTTTTACTTATGGATAATCTTATTGATATTGTCCTCGAATATGAGTTAATTGAATCATGTTTCTTGAATACATGTGACCAATTCAATTGACCACATGATTAGGTGGGAATGTGGGAAAGTTAGTTGTCTGGATGAATGCGTACTACGCACACTAACTTTACACCTAAATCACATCTCTAACAATGACTTCAGGTATATCCAACCTGATTAAGAGCATTTGGCACGCTCCTCGTTGTATGAATGATACTGCATCACCATTTAAGGGACCTTAAATTTTCCCTGACGTTGAGTTTTTAAGGATATTCGAGATGATAATGATCATAAATGAAACCACTGAAGAAAATAGAGTGAAATATCTTTGCACCACCTCCAAAAAAAAAAACACTGAGCCTGAAGCTTTCATTTGGAGCCAATGGGTTGTCTCCAAACTGGGAATACACCATATGTGGCCCGCCTAGAGCTGGGTGATTGAGCAGTTTACTTGCTTTGGCACGACTTTTTGGGACACTTAGGTCGAACAATGATGCTACAACGCATCTCCTTACCCGAAGTAAGGATCTTGTGCCTACAAGCACACTTTGCCAAGCATGCTCATTAGGGAAATTGATTTTCTAAATCATTCCTAGCAAAGATACGAAACAACTCCATTTTCGTAGTGGATTCAAGGGAATATATGTGGACTAATCCAACCAAAACGCGGACCATATAAATACTTATGGTTTTGGTTGATGAATCGACAAACTGGTCACATGTTTGTCCACACACATTGCTGCTAAACCTCCTGGCCGATTATGGGTTAACCACCCTACTTATCCCTTAAGGTCCTGGAGACTGGATAATGCCGGAGTGTTTACATCGACGGTTTTCGATAAAGTATTGCATGTATTTTGGGTTTCTAATTGAATATCGAATTCCTATGTTCACCCCAAATAGCCTCACATAGTGATCATAAAGCGCAATTTAAATGATCGCCCGAATTTTGGTAAACGTACTAAGTTTTCAGTTTCTGCCTAGGGCTATGCAATCCTTGTACGCAGTTATGTTGGTCCGCCTTGAGGCCTTTTACCACCCAACCTATATGACGTTACAGTTGGTTACTGGGTACGAACTTGACGATTTTCGTATTTACGCATTTGGGTGTGCATTCCATGTGCCAAGTTACGTCGCCGCAGCATACCACCTTGGGTCCTCAAAGAAGGATGGGAATCTTTTGTCGATCATGATTCTCTTTCACACTAGCTCTATTCGAGCCCTTGCACGCGATCTCTTTACCGCTCATTTACGGGTTGTTACTTTAATGTGACCGTCTTCCCACAGTTAGGGGGAGATAAGAACGTCAACGTTCCTATAGAACGACGTGAATTTGCGTGGACGTTGCCCATTATGTCTCATCTCGATCCCCATACCGCACAAGTGTGATAAGCAAGTGCGATGAATTCTAGATTTCAGAATGTTGCTCCAGACGCATTCATTTGATCTAGCTAAAGTGACGAGATCATATACCAGCTGCAAACATGCCTACAAGGATAGACGTACTTAACGGACATCAAGTCAACATTCTTGAAGGGTGTGCCGCCCCTGTTGGACGGTTTGGACACTCCTGTTGGACGGTTCGGTACACCGGCGAATAGCCAATCAATCTGTCTTGGACTGGAGCACGACAGATCATTCGGTTCGTAGGATTCACTTCCCTATAAGAGTTCCTTAGAACAAGAAAACACGGCACAATAATGAATCTAAACTCGATCGTTGTCTCAAATCATTTCCATTTCATGAGATTAATCCAGATTACTCCTGAGACTGGAAGTTCTTGGTCCAGTATACTAGTTTGGATGAGAAAATGGAATTGAAATGAGATTATCATCGATGATGTTTTCACTTATATGGTAGCTACCGACATAAATGAAAAGCGACGATATCGAACCGTGTTCCGTTGATTAAGTGACAACATAGAACTGATTGAACAACTAAAGTTACAATCCAGGTCAAATTCCTTACCAAAGTGTGTATTAGACCTGTCGTTCCTACACTGCCCAAGGTAACTCCATTGTGTTACAAATGGGAAATGAAGCGTTATGAGATGAATGAAATAGTGCGATATGATGCACACCTTACGGCGCAAGGTTTCTCTCAAACGTCATGTGATTGATAGCTGCATTATGAAATGTGGTTAGTGTTTCTCCATGGGGATATTGATACGAAGAATTACATGTAAGTTCTCGAAGAATTACATGGATTGGTTCAAATAGTTCCAAAACCACGAAACACCCTCTTAACTTGTTTGAGGCGTTCACTTACAATCCGACAGATATGGTATACCCGTCTTAAGTGATTATTTGATCAGTCAGGGATGAATTATGCCCTTGCGGGTTAAACTATGAAGTCTTATTCCAAATTGCTAGAGTTATAGTTTATGTCGTTAAACACGAATCTCACTAAGACTCTGGATGAGCTTGAAAAACTGACTCGCACCTGAAGATGGAATTTGAGATGAAGGATCTTGGGAAAACTCACTTATGCCTTGACCTAAAGTTAAAGCATTGTTCTGACGGTATTTTGGTTTACCAGTCGAACTACACCCTGAATGTGTCACCTTTGAGTATACCTTTGATCGTCCATACGTTATATGCAAATGAGACCCTTGAAGAGGTTATGGAATCCGAAATTCCTTATCTAAGTTCAACTTTGCGCTTCGTTGTACTTAGCTCATTGTATTTAGACAGGACATCTCCTTCGCTGTTGATCTTGGTAAAGATGCAGCACCGCGCCTACACGCAACAACTGAATTGGTATTAAAGACATACCCTAAAGGTATTACATGGGCAAATCCCAACGCATCTCAGCGGATCCAAACCCCCTGATCCTCATAATGATGCTTGCCTTGTTTGTTATGCTGACGCTGGTTACTTATCAAACCCGCACAAGGCAAAATCCCCAAATGGTTATGTCTTTACCATTAGGGATATCGCAATATCTTGGAGGTCCACGATATGACCTTAGTTGCGAAATCTTCGAATCGTTCCAAGATTCACCTCACTTCACTACGCCACAAGTGAGACATGGTTAGGAGTTCTTGTTGAGCATATCTGAAGTACTTACTATTTTTCATCTATCATTGAGTCCCAACAACGATCCATGAAGATTATGCCACATGTATCAACCCGACCAAACCATGATACATCAACGAAGTCAACACCAAGACATATTGCGTCTACATCTACATCAGCAAAGCATCAAGAGATTGAAGTCATGCAAACCAATCCCAGACAACCTTGCCGACCTCTACACGACGTCATTGCCGAAGTTAACCTTCTAGAAGCTTGTCCGAGGAATTGGTATGCCTAATTATCTGAGTTGAATCACTTGTAGTTCTCTTATTTAGAAGTTATGTCTAACTCAGGGGAGTATCTAGAAGTATACTCACATGATCTTAATGTACTCTTTTTCCCTACGATTATGAGCATTTTTCCCACTGGGTTTTTGCTACCTAACTAGGTTTTAATGAGGCACCCATCCTGGGATGATCATACTCCGTTGAGTTCACTACCTTCGTCCAGTTTGACGATTGTTTTAGACATTATGCATATTTTCTTACTTTTCTCCTTAGTCTATGGGTTTTTCTCATTCCTTGGGTTTTACCATAGCGAGGTTTTTGTGAGTTTTTAAAAATGCATACTTCAAATTAAATTTGAGACTCGCGATCACCCGTTGTGCCGATGACTTCATCAACTATTCTACCTTATCTGCTGAAGATCTGATGCGATGGTTTGTTGAGTATTTACACACTCAAGGGGGAGTGTTGCAGTCATATTTAGAATAGGAATGTGATTGTGTAATTCCTAGGAAATCTGGGAATGTATCTTATATTCTTATTAGGATTAGATTACCTATTAAATGTTGTAATCCTAAAGGGAAATGTTTTACCCTTCCTACTACTATAAATAAAGGCACAATGGGGTGGAATAACACACACCTCACATTACACATCTCTCTCTTTCTCTCTATCCATGCCGCACCCCTCTCTCTATAACCTCCATAATTGTTCAGTAAATTATGCTTACAACATGATTTAGTTTTAGTTGGGTATCTAATTTCTTAGATAAGTTGGAAGGAGTGAGATACAGCTAATACATACATATAGATGCCATCATTGCGGCAAATCAAACTAACCAATAGGGAACACAAAGTTCAAATCATCACCTCATTCTCGATTCCTCAAATTTCCCTTCACTTCCTTCTAAAAATATACTAAAATTAATGGTGGCACGTTTTATATTTTAAAACTGAAATTTGAAAGAAAAAAAAAACCACAAAAAAAGATGAACAAAATCAAATAGAAAATTTAGGGTTTTGTAGTTGTACATAGTTTCGCCATCATCAAGGCGTTCAAACCAATAGGGATACGAACCTATTCCTCATCTCAAATCTGCCCCCACACACAATTTCAAATAAAAAACTACACACAAAAAAAAGATTTCTAGGGTTCTAAGCAGAAACAAAGATTAGGGTTTTTCACCAGCACCAGGAGAAAAAAGAAAACTACAGAAAAAGAATATATCTAGGGTTTAAGCAGGAAGAGAGACTAGGGCTTTCCAGCAGCAGAACGGCTCCCGCCACTGCTATCCCAGAGTGTGAAATTGTGATGCAACAGAAACCCTAATGATTGGGTATTTATCATGAAAACTTGGGCCTTTAGGGCAGCATCTGGCAGAAGAGTCTCAAGTCTCGAGTCGCGAGTCTCTATATGGGCTTGACCCGTTTTCTCAATCCAGCCCAACCCACATTGATTTACCGGGAAAAAACTGAGACGACTAGGGATGGGCAACGGTTATGGCGAGCGGGTAACCGTAATTATTTACTCATAACCGTTTATACTCATACCCGTATAACCGTTTACCCATTGGGTAATTGCCTAAACGGTTATACTCATACCCATAACCGTTTATAAATGGTTAACCATACCCATAACCGCATACCCATTTAACCGTAACCGTTTAATACACGTTTACCCATTTACCCTTTTTAACCAATTTATATTTATTTTTTTTTTACCATTACCCCTTTTTCACCCGTCTACATGTTTTTTAACAACTTGAAAATTAAAAAAAATTGTCATAATTTTTTTTTTTTACAATTAAACACCGTTATAGGTATATTCATCATACATTTTCGTATTTTAATTTTTTAAGTCCTTATACCATTCCAATAATTGAAATAATAGTTTACAGACGATATTTTTAACTGATACCAATGAAGGTAAATATAATATTTGCTAAGTATTATTGGGTTACAAAAATTGTTTAGAAGACATTTCTGCCAAAGCATTTCTGTCAATTTCACGGTTACCCGCAAGGAATTTAAATTAATTTGGCGAATTCCATGATGATGAGAATCATCATTCCTATAGCAGTGTTATTGAGAGAATGACCGATGAATTCCTTGCTACTTTATTGGGTGCTAAGTATTATTGGATCGAGAATATGTTTTATGTTAGTTTTACATATATAAAATAAATGGGTAAACGGTTACCCGTTTATAACCGCGGTTAATACCCATAACTGCCCATTTAAATTTTGCAGGTAAACGGTTATACCCATAATCGTTTATTTATCTAAACGGTCATCCATAACCGTAATCGTTTAATTTAAATGGACGGGTAACCGCGGTTACCCATAACCAATGGGAATTTGCCCATCCTTAGAGACGACTCGTCCTCTTTCTCACCGTGCCGTATAGGCTTTGCTCTTTCCAGATTTTAAGTTTGTGAGGTGGGTTAGCCTTTGATTTCTTCTTTTTGTCACCATAGGGTTTTGTTGAAATTCTTTTAGATTTTGTGGTAATTTTTGTTTTTTTTTTAACAAACGATATTATCTACAAGAAAATAGTGAGAGAGTAGGTTAAGCCTCACAATGAGCTAACAATAATTTGGTTTACATTCACCTTTGACGAGAATCGAACCTAAGACCTTTCATGTACAATTGAAGAGGAACGCCACTAGACCGTAGTACTAAGTGACGTGATAATTGTAGTATTGACTTCGTAGGTTATGATGAGTCAATGAAGGCCGAAGGCTGAGGATGCAGTGGTGGTGGTGGAACTCAAATGAGCTGTAGAAAAATATTGGGAAATTTTATTTGAACATATATAACCTTATTCTATACTTAACTTAAGTTTAAAATATGATTTTTTTTTATCATATTGCATAATTACCATCAAATACAAGATAAAATAAACAAAAAAAAAATATCAAAAAATGCACACACAAAAAGTTCTATTTTTGTTTGTTTAAGTTGGTTTTTTTTTATGCATACTAGTATATGCGCACACAAAGTGTGTATTTTTTATTTTTTATTTTAATTGAAAGAGAGAGGAAGAGACATAATTAATATTGAATGAGTTGCAGAACATTCATGAATATTGATTTTGGGTTTTTATGTTCTAAATAAGTATATCGATATATTTACTATTGAATTGAATTACTAAGACTAGTTTAGACAATAAATTTAAGTTTAAATAGATATTAACGGTTTAATTAAAAACAAAAGAGTAAATTGGATGTAGAAGATAAAGAAATTATACGAATTCAAATAATTTAAACAAAATCTTTTTGGAAGTTTAGTAAAATTACTTTTGGTATCCAAATAGATGTGAGAGTAAATTTGTCCATACCGTCCAGTACAAATATGAAATAACCACTCGATCTTCTGCTTCCGTACATTGTGCCTCGGAGGCCACCCCACCGCCATTGCCAACTGATTTAAATCTCCGAGCCGTCTCCCTCTCTCTCTCTCTTTCTCTCTTTCTCTTTCTCTTTTTCTCTCAGTTATGGAATTGGCCAAGCATTTCTCCAAGCAGCTCTTCGACAGCTTGCGTAAGCACTTTTAGCCCAAAAGCACTGTTGCTCTGTTCTTCAATTCTTTTCAAACTGCAAGAATGAATTTTTCGTTTTGTTTTGTTTTGGGTCACGAAATGTGTAGATTTTACGCAAAGCTTTGTGAAGAGGAAGGAATTTTACCGGCGGTTTGTATACAGCTACGTGAATCTGTTTAAATCGCAGCACTCGAAAGCCGAAAAAGGAGGAGAATCGGACGCACCGAAAAAGCCGAAAGCTGTTGGTCCTCAGCAAGCTGCTTTGGGGCCAGAAGCTGCTGGTGGCATTAGCAGCTCTTCGAGTGAGGATGAAGATTTAGTCGATAGCAAGAGGAAAAGGTTCGAGCTTGCTTGGCTCCCCAAAGTTCTCGAGCCAGCTTTTCAATTGTGCAGATGGGCTCTGCCAACCTCTGTAGGTACCCCAATTTAAATCCCTTTCGCGTAAATTAGAGTAGTTTAGAGTATCGCTTTTGCTAAAAAGGATAAAAACTTGTCATGTCGGGGCAATTTATTGAAACTGATGGGTGGCCATCACTTTGTGTTAAAGTGTTATTCCTTAATTTTAGGGTTTATGTCTTCTAGGAGATTTCTTGTGAGTTGTATCTAGGGCTAGCCTTTTATTCCTTAATTTTAGGGTTTATGTCTTCTATGAGATTTCTTGTGAGTTGTATCTAAGGCTAGCCTTTTTCTCTCTAGCTACTACTTTGTAGCTGTTTGCATTTGTTTATTGGGTAGGTTTTTCCTTCCTTGCTTCGTCTCCTTTTTATGAGACCTCTCCCTTGTAATTCTTTTTCATGAATACATACACACTTTGTTGAACTTAAATCTCAACATGGTATCAGAGCAGGAACCATAGGGTCCTGCCTCTGTTGTTCAATCCATTCCATTCAAAAAAAAATTCTTTCTTTCTTGGTGTCTTTTGCTCTTCGTTCACTATCATGGCAGAAGACCAGAATTTAAGCCGAGAGGCAGCAAGCTCGTCAAACACTTTATCTTCCAGTGTGATTCATGGTGAAATCAATCCAAATTTGTGCATGTGCTCAGTGTTATTAAACGAGTTTAATTACCTACCATGGTCTCGCGCCATCTTTCTTGCCCTAGGTGGAAGATCGAAGCTAGGGTATGCCAATGGAAGCATTAAAGCACCTGAACCATCTTCTACATCGTATGGTGCATGGCATGCAAGCGATTAGCTTGTTATGTCCTAGATACTTAACTCTATGGAACCTAAGCTGTCCGAACTCTTCAGTTACTCAAAATCCTCTCATGTTTTGTGGGAATCTATCAAAGAGATGTATGGCAGCCAAAACAATGCTGCTCGTATATTTCAACTCAAGAAGGATCTCACTGGGCTAAGGCAAGGTGATCAATCCTTCATGCAACACCTTGGGAGCATGAAGTCCATGTGGAACGAACTTGACATGTATCGTCCACATACAACATATTCCGCTGCACTCCTAAAAAAAGACGATGAAGACAAAGTGTTTCAACTTCTGGCAAGTCTTGGAGCAGAATATGAAGATCTTCGAAGTCACTTGCTGATGACTGCAGATCTGCCCTCGTTTAATAGTGTTTGTCAAGTTGTCCAACGGGAGGAAACTCGAAGAAAAGTTATGCACATTGAACCCAAGTCCAACTCTGAGGCAAGGGTTTTCACCAGCAATCATAAACACACTGGTGAAAAAAAATTTACTAGAAAGAAGGCAGATTGGAAATGTACTTACTGTAACATGAAATGGCATATAAGGGAAAAATGCTGGATCCTACATTTGGAGTTAAAGCCAAAGTTTGATAAGGAAGGAAGAATGATCAAAGAAGGCAAGGGAATTTTTCCAAAGGCTCTCCATTCAACTAGCTCGTTGACTGGTGGTTTACCAAACTTCAATGCAAATCCCATAGATTTGATAAATGAATTTGCAAGCTTTCTTCAAATGAGATGAGGCACCAATGAGGAAAAGGAAGTGATCTCTAAGAATCCTACTGCCATGCTTGGAAAATTTGCAGGCTTCTTGAATGAGACCACAACCCAAGACAATGTTTCAGGTATTATCTCTGCCCTCTCCACTGCTCTCAATGAAATTACGCATGATTGTTGGATCATAGACTCAGGTGCCACAGATCATATAACAAATAAGTCCTCTTGCTTAGATAAGTTTCAAAATATGCCTGAGTCTTCACTTGTGTCTGTAGCAAATGGGAAAGGATAACCTATTATGGGAAAAGGTAAACTTAAACTGTTAAGTGATGAGATTAAGTCAACAGCTTTGTATGTGCCTTCATTTCCCTTCCAGCTTTTGTCCATAGGAAAACTCACAAACACACTAAATTGCCTTGCCATATTCTCTTCTCACAATGTTGTATTTCAAGATCGAGTCACCCAGAAGAAGATTGGTGAAGGGTTCTATTGAATGGACTCTACTTTCTTTCAAAGAAGCTCAAGCCTGTTAAGCATCCTTTTGCCAGCCTAAGTCTTCCTCAAGAGTACCAACTTTGGCACATTCGATTGGCCCATCCCTCATAACCTGTGATGAACAAAACTATTTTCAAATTTTTGTAAAGCCACACATGAATGTGAAGTCTGTCAAATGTCAAAAGCTACTAGGCTTCCTTTTGTTTCTTTCAAGTCTAGAACCAGTAAACTGTTTGAGGTTGTTCATTCAGATATTTGGGGTCCTTCCGGTGTAAAATCATTTGATGGATATAAATATTATGCCACCTTTATTGATGACTATTCTCGTTGCACTTGGATTTACCTCTTGAAATTCAAAAGTGAATTCTTTGATGCTTTCAAAGACTTTCATCAATTAATCTTAAACCAATTCTCCTCTAAGTTAAACATTTTACAGTCGGATAATGGTACTGAGTATACATCCAACAATATGTCTAATTATTTGAGCAATCATGGGATTTTACATCAAACCAGCTGTGTTGGTACACCACAATAGAATGGTGTAGTCAATAGAAAAAACCGTGACTTATAAGAGAAATCCATATCTCTTATGCTTCAAATGCATGCTCCTAGAAGGTTTTGGTCTCAGGCTCTCCTCACTGCATCCTACATCATCAACAGGTTACCTACCCGTGTATTGAATTCAAAATCACCTGTTGAAGTAATGAAGGGAAGAACTATTGACATCTCACACCTGAGAACTTTTGGATGCACATGTTATGTCCATATTCAAGCTGCACATCGAGACAAGCTCGATCCCAGAGCTGTCAATAGTGCCTTCATGGGATACTCGAGCACTCAAAAAGGATACAAATATTACAATCCTCTTAATGGAAAGATTGGTGTCTCAAGGGATGTTCGATTTAATGAGAATGCTCCATTCTTTCACAAAAATAGCAGTGAAGAACCTCAGGGGGAGAACCTACTGGACATTTTTCCTCTGCCCACTCCAGCAAATCTACATGAATTCAATGTTTATCTCGACCGCCACTCAGAACAACATGATGATGAAGAAACATCTCATGATCAAGGAAGCTCCGGCACTACTCCTCAACCTGTCTTGGCACCACGAAGAAACCCTACTCGTGACAGGCATCATCCTCTAAGGCTGCAAGAGTATGTTACGTACACGGCAAGACATCCCATCTCCAAAGCCTTAACCTATCAAAAACTGCCACCATCCCATGTAGCCTTTCTACATCAGCTGTCCACTAATGATGAACCAAGAATTTTAATGAAGCTACTCACATTCCAGTATGGCAGAAAGCTATGAAAGAAGAGCTTCAAGCACTGAACAACAACCAAACATGGAGTGTGGTTTATCTTCCAAAAGGAAAAAGAGCAGTAGAGAGTAGGTGGATATAGAAGACCAAGTTTCATTCAAATGGCAATATTGAAAGATATAAGGCTCGTTTAGTAGCCCGTGGCTTTACTCAAACTTATGGCATTGACTATAATGAGACATTTGTTCCCGTAGCCAAAATGAGTATTGTACGAGTGTTGTTATTTGTGGCAGTCAATCTCGATTGGTCCCTATTTCAAATGGATGTGAAGAATGCATTTCTTCATGGTGACCTCGAATAGGAGGTGTACATGAAGCTTCCTCTCGGAACTCCACAAGAGCATGAAACTAACAAAGTTTGCAAGCTCCATAAGGCCATATATGGATTGAAGCAATCTCCCCGAGCCTGGTACTCGAAGTTAAGTTCAGTCCTTGAAGCTACAGGATTCACAACGAGCCATGCCGATTCCTCGTTATTTGTTCGCACTGGTATAAGTGGCAACCTAGTTGTTCTTATATATGTTGATGATCTTATTATAACAAGTGATAACATAGAAGAAATCAATGCCCTCAAATCCTCTCTTCATCAACAATTTGCCATTAAGGATTTGGGAATTTTAAAGTACTTTCTTGGCATTAAAATGGCTACTTCCTCCAAGGGTTTGTTCTTCAATCAAATGAGGTATGTTCTTGATCTATTGGATGAAGTTGGCATGTTGAATTGCAAGCCCGCTTCTACTCCTCTAGTGAGTAGACTTCAAGTAGATGCACCCAGTGAACCACTACCAAACCTTAGGGTTTATCAACGTGTGGTAGGAAAACTAATCGACCTCACTATCACCAGACCTGATATTGCTTATTCTGTAAGTTTTGTCAGTCAATTTATTCACTCTCCCTCGATGATTCACTGGGAGAGTGTCAAAAGGATACTTAGATACTTGAAGGGATCCATTGGCAGAGGCTTACTCATGCAAAAACATGGTTCAAATCATATCATGGCATACACTGATGCTGACTGGACGGGTAATGCCCTCGATCGCAAGTCTACCACTGGTTTCTGTACTTTTGTTGGTGGCAATCTTATGACATGGAAGAGTAAAAAACAAACCGTGGCTGCAAGATCAAGTGCTAAGGCTGAATACAGAGCCATGGCAGCCACGACTTGTGATTAATTTGGTTAAAAAGTCTCCTAATAGATCTTGGCTGCGTCAACAAGGAACCTATGTCCTTGTTTTGTGACAACCAAGCTGCCATGCATATAGCTTCAAATCCAGTATTCCACGAAAGAACAAAGCATATTGAAGTTGATTGCCATTACATCCGAGCACAAGTCCAATCCAAAGTCATCAACACCGTGTACACTTAAAGTTATGATCAACTTGATGACTTGTTTACAAAAGCTCTCGACTCTACTCATTTCCAAAGATTGCTGAGCAAGCTTGGATCAATCAACCCCCTTGATCCAGCTTGAGGGGGAGTATTGAAACTGATGGGTGGCCATCACTTTGTGTTAAAGTGTTATTCCTTAATTTTAGGGTTTATGTCTTCTAGGAGATTTGTTTTGAGTTGTATCTAGGGCTAGCCTTTTTCTCTCTAGCTACTACTTTGTAGCTGTTTGCATTTTTTATTAGGTAGGTTTTTCCTTCCTTGCTTCGTCTCCTTTTTATGAGACCTCTCCCTTGTAATTCTTTTTCATGAATACATACACACTTTGTTGAACTTAAATCTGAACACAATTGGGTAGTCATTGGTCTTGAATGATTTTGTGTAATTTGGAACTTGCAATATTAGCTGTGCATGAAAAAAAAAATGTAGTTTGGAAGTTGTGGTTTCGCTTGGTTGAAAAGAATTAAAATTTGTCATTTGGAACTTGGGTGGTCATTGGTTTTGGAGGAAATTGTTTAATTTGGAAGTTGCAGTTGGAGTTGTGAGTGAAGATTGTTCAGTTTTGAAAGTTGAAGGAAATGGAGTGGGAAACCAAACCCCACCCACTACTCGATCAGTCTCAGAGATCATTGCAAGCATCCAACGCAGTAAGATAGGAATTGAGGATTGGAGTTTGAGTGATCTCACCATTGGTTTGTTTCTCATTTATCTTCGTCAAGCGTCTGTAAATCCGTTTGAGGATGTTAATGGTGTCCAGGTCTCCTCAGATTCCATGGTAATACGAATTACATGATCTTTTTAATTCTGAAAATGTTTCTTGCTTCTGCAATTAGTTTGTACAAACACATAATATTTTGTGGCAAGTATGATTGTGGTGAAAACGTGGTTGTCATTAGTTATTTGCCATTTGTTTTGTGTTTAGGTGCAAGATCTCATCTACCACTCTGAGTTAGCAAAAGGTTCTTATAAGGATAATACTGCAGCTCTTGCAAGGAACACCATGCTTCGTGAAAGCAATGTCTTGAAATTTGTCAAAGATTCCAGTGTCATGAGGCCTGGATATTATATAGGGATAGATCCTTGTAAAAAACTTGTGATTTTAGGAATCCGTGGTACTCATACTGTATATGACCTTATAACTGATGTTGTTTCTTCTAGCGATGGTGAAGTCACATTTGAGGGTTATTCAACCCACTTTGGCACTACAGAAGCTGCTCGCTGGTTTCTTAGTCACGAGATGGGAAATATAAGGAAGTGCTTAGAGAAATGTGAGGTGGGGAATCTTTTTACCCTCACTTTTCTTTGTTATTGTTTTTTTTTGAGTGGTGTAATCTTGTTCGAGGATTTTGTGTTTTTTTTTTTTCTCCCGACCAGATTTTTTGTCATTGTTGGTTGTAGTTGAGCCCAATTCATTAACAGGGATTTAAGTTAAGGCTAGTTGGTCATTCTCTCGGAGGTGCTACAGCTGCTTTACTTGCAATAATGCTCCACAAAAAGTCAGCTTAGGAGCTGGGGTTCAATCCACAGATTGTCTCTGCCGTGGGTTATGCAACGCCACCTTGTGTCTCCAGAGAACTTGCTGAAAGCTGCTCCAGTTATGTCACAACTGTTGTGATGCAGGTGGGAAGGTGCATTCAATTATTCTCTAGTTAGAAGAAGCACTTTCAATCTAATTATATCTACTCGTTGCAGTTGATTTTCTATAGTTTTATTTGTTATTTTTCCCTTCTTAAATTCTTACAAACTTAAGACATCTTTTTATGCAGGATGTTATGATACCTAGGCTAAGTCCAGCATTCTAACGAGGTTGAGGAGTGAAATTCTTCAAACCGATTGGTAAGTAAATGAATGTGCTTCTTCACAGTTTCCTGTCACTCTTTTTCAAAATAGGTTGAGAGAAAAAAAAAAAAAAAGCACACTAGTCGTTTGAATTGAGACTAAATTGCTTCATATACCAAATGATTAAGAACTCAAAGAAGATGTTGAACTAGTTTTTGTAAATCTGTTGCTTGCAATTGACACTTTCTGCTTTCCTTGTAATTTGCCTGCACCGTCTATTCTCAGAAATTTCTAAGTTTCAAGAATTAGATCGGGACCTTGAACTTGCATTTTGGGATTAATGCTGCGTGGTAATTTGGAAATCTATGGATTTTTTTGTGATTCTATGGATATAAACCTTTCAACTCTTTTGCTAGAAAAAACTGTCTGTGCACTTCTTTTGGTAAGGTCTATGCTGCCTGTTCCACTGCTTGGAATTAAAATTAGTATGCACCTCTTTTAGTTCGTGTCTATTTCTCTTGCTTGGATTATTGTGGAAAAGCAAAAAATTTGGCCATGAATAATTTTAAAGCACCGAAACGGATGAAAACTTGACATATTTATGTTAACTTGAAAGCATCATTCATCAATTCACGGAAAACGGAAAAGTTGCTTCTTTTGTGAGCATAATTTTTTTGCACCAGTGGCAATTTGATGTTAACTGTGAAGGCTTTATCAAAATATCATAGTTCATACTTATTTGTTTATACGTTATGTTTTGCAGGAAGAGTGATTGAGAAGGAAGACTGGAGAAGTGTCATAGATTTGGTTACAAATGCAAAGCAGGTTGTGTCTTCCGTGCAAGATGTTGCTCGGAAGCTTTCTGATTACGCAAAGTTTGGGAGCAGTAAAAATTCTTCTGGTAAATCCCACCCTGCTCTGTGCCTGAAGTGTCAATGCTACTGTATATAAGTTCAGTTAATTATATCTTTATTCCTTGCTGTGTCGTGACATGTATATTGTAACAAAAGTGCTATATATATGTACTGTGATTGATGAATATTTAGTATTTACGCTGCAAATGTTGGGCGTTGTGAATTTGAAACTTCAAAATAATCTCTGGCTGCATTTTTCGCACCATCAGTTTATAATTGTTGGCTATGTCGCGTGTATGATTTTCATTACATTGGTGGGTGTGGATGGACTGGAAATTTGTCATTCTTCTCTGCTTGATGGTGTTTGTTTTGTTGGGGAAGCATCAAATCTCAACAGATGGGTGGCTATACCTCATTAATCGTTAATGATTAATTTAAGCTTTAACATGCTTGACACCATATGATCTTCCCTTCACCAAATTATCTTGTGGTGTTTGAACAGGTGGTCCCATCATAAAGAAAACTCCTACTGCTCTCGGGGTCCCTTTAAATGACAGAGAAGTAACAGATAACACTGTTGCTATTAAAAGTGGAGGAGCTGCCTGTAAAGTGCCTGAGGAGTTATTTGTACCAGGTACCGTTTACTACCTAAAGAGGAATGTGGACGCACATGCTGGCAGCAACAACGGCAGAAGAAGGGAGTATTTTATGCTTTGGAAGAGGCATCCGGGTGAGCATTTTCAGAGGATTGTGCTTTCAAGCAACATAATAACAGACCACAAGTGTGTGAGCCATTACTATGCGTTAAGAGATGTGCTCAAAGATTTTCCCGCCTCCGATACAACAACAACAAAGCATTTTCCCACTAAGTGGGGTCGGCTATATGAATCCTAGAACGACATTGCGCTCGGTTTTGTGTCATGTCCTCCGTTAGATCCAAGTACTCTAAGTCTTTTCTTAGGGTCTCTTCCAAAGTTTTCCTAGGTCTTCCTCTATCCCCTTCGGCCCTGAACCTCTGTCCCGTGGTCACATCTTCGAACCGGAGCGTCAGTAGGCATTCTTTGCATATGTCCAAACCACCGTAACCGATTTTCCCTCCTCTTTCCTTCAATTTCGGCTACTCCTACTTTACCTCGGATATCCTCATTCCTAATCTTATCCTTTCTCGTGTGCCCACACATCCAACGAAGCATCCTCATCTCCACTACACCTACGTGTTGATGCTTCACCGCCCAACATTCTATGCCATACATCATTGCCGGCCTTATTGTCGTCCTATAAAATTTTCCCTTGAGCTTCAGTGGCCTACGACGGTCACATAACACGCCGGATGCATTCTTCCACTTCATCCATCCAGCTTGTATTCTATGGGTGAGATCTCCATCAAATTCTCCGTTCTTTTGCAAGATAGATCCTAGGTAGCGAAAACGGTCGCTCTTTGGTATTTCTTGATCTCCGATCCTCACCCTTAACTCATTTTGACCTCCGTTTGCACTGAACTTGCACTCCATATATTCTGTCTTTGATCGGCTTAGGCGATGACCTTTAAATTCCAATACTTCTCTCCAAAGGTTAAGCTTCGCGTTTACCCCAAAGAATATCATCTTAAATATTAAGTTTGTGATCTTCGCTAGATTGCTCCGGTCATTAGTGTGGATAAGTATGTAAATGGATAGAGACAGGAAGCAAACACAAGATGTACGTGGTTCACCCAGATTGGCTACGTCCACAGAGTTAAGGAGTTCTCATTAATTGTGAAGGGTTTACACAGTATATAGGTTCAAGCTCTCCTTTAGTGAGTACAAGTGAATGATTTAGTACAAATGACATTAGGAAATATTGTGGAAGAATGATCTCGTAATCACGAAACTTTTAAGTACCGAAGTGTGGTATCATCTTCATTTGCCTTATCTGTCTCATAGGTAGATGTGGCATCTTCTTTGGAAGTACTCTTCCTCCCTCCAGGGGTGGTATCTTTAACTGGTGGAGATGCACAAGGTAATGTATCAATTTCACTTGACGCTTACTTGTAGTTTCAGGCTTGGTCAAGCGCGATACAAACCATGTAGTAGGAGTCCCCCAAGTCGCCGAGCTAGGGGATCTGCTGAAAGAGGTTACAGACAAGGTAAGCAATCAGAGCTCCAAGCAATCAGTCCCAGATCAGAAGTTTGATTTCGAGTTCCGGCTGATTGTTATCCTTCTCCTTATCTTGCAGGTAGCATGAAGGATAAAGAGAAGAAAAGGAGAAAATGTGATATGAGATACTTTTGCTTTTGAAGAAGTAACTTTCCACAGGCTTATTCTTGAACTGGGCTGGAGGGTTTTCTTGTTTCCGCCAGAGTATATGGCCGACTGAAGAATTTGAGGGTCAAAACAAGTCCATCAAATCTAGAGTATGTTCGACCCTGCTGATATGGGATACTTTTGCTGTTGACAAAGTAGTGGATGTATCGGCACGTGTTCTGTTGCGCTTGTCTCCACATACTTCCTTGTATCCTTCTCACTTGCCCTATTTGTTCCTCAGGAAGATGTGGTATCTTCTCGGGAAGCATAAGATGTTGAAGATAAGTACTCGAGAGCAATGGGATTCCAGGCAGCCAGTTCCGGATTGAAAGCTTGATTCCAAGTGCTGACTGATTGCTCTCTTTCTCTTTGTCTTGCAGGTAAGAACAAGGCCAAAGAAAAAGACAGGGAAAAAGCATGATATGGGATACTCTTGCTTTTAACCCTGATGATATGAGATATTCTTGCTCTAGTGTAGCTTGTTTGCAGAGGTATTCTCGGGGGGAAAGAAAGCTGAGTATTTCGAGAGGCTTCGTTGGGAGTGCCCTCTCAGATATGAGGAAGGGTTGAACATTTTTGCAGGTCTGCCTGTCCGTTATATAGGAGTCTCCCTAACAAGGAGTAATACTATTCTTTTACCCTGCTTGGTCATAGCACGGTAGTGGGAGCTGCCAGCTTCACGTGTTTTAACTCTGTCAGAGCACTTTGAAAAAGTGGTCTGTGGTATCTGGAAAGCTGATGTTACGTGTGAAGATTACAGACAAGCTTTATCCAAGGAGATCTGGCTCTCGAAGTTGAGAAAGCGGTGTGAGGATTACAGACAAGCTTTATCTAAGGGGCTCTCGAAGTTGAGAAAGCGGTGCCTCTTCGGTTTTTGAACAAGCAATCCTGTCGGGGATCTGTCTCTCGAGATTCGGAGAACGGTGCCTCTTCGATTTTTGAGAAAGCAATCCTGCTAGGAGTCTGGCTCTCGAGATTCGGATGACGGTGCCTCTTCGATCTTGAAGCAAGCAATCTTGTTGGGAGTGTTTTCTCGAATGTGAAGGTTAGGCCTGTTTACTAGTCTACCTTGCCACGGAGCACAGAGGTTGACCCACAGGGACTTTCCAATTATCCAGCAATGGTCCTGTTCCTTTACCCTTATGGGTAATAATATGGTAGCTAGACCTTCAAAATTTATGTGTCTAAACTTTGTTAGTGCTGTGTCTTTGCTATTCTTTTACCCTTCTTGGTCATAGCGATGTAATGGGAGCTGCAAGCTTCACGTGTCTAAACTTTGTCAGAGATTTTTGGCAAAGTTATATGTGGTACCCGTGAGCTGATGTTGCGTGTGGAAAGTGAATGATTGAACAGTAACATTCACGTGCTTTCTACTTCACTAGAAATCTTCGACAGAATGCCCGTAATTTCCGCAAAGTTGAGTGTGCATGTGACAGGTGCTGACAAGGCTGAAAAAACAGGTGCCTCTTCGATTTTTGAGATCAGCCCTCGTGGTCTCTGAGCAGCCCAGCTTTTGAGAAAGCAAGCACCTATTCGATTTCTGCGATCGACCTTCGTGGTCTTTGAGCAGCCCAGCTTTTGAGAAAGCAAACGCCTCTTCGATTCCTGAGATCGGCCCTCGTGGTCTCTGAGCAGCCCAGCTTTTGAGAAAGCAAACGCCTTTTCGATTTCTGAGCAGGCGCCTCTTCGATTTCTGAAGCTCCATCGAGTGCGGATTTTTATAGAGGCTGGTATTAAGTTCCAAAGCACACTTGAATCTCCACTAGTAGAAGTTCCCTTCTTGCATTTCCAAGATCTTGATTTGTCCGACCTCTTTTCTCTTCAACACCTTTGAAAATGTCTGGCCCCTCCGACCGTCATTTTGACTTGAACCTTGTTGAAGAGGCAGCCACGCCTTCTCCAGACAACATATGGCGCCCATCCTTCTTATCCCTTACTGGTCCTCTTACCGTTAGGGATTCCGTGATGAAGAATGATATGACTGCTGCGGTGGTGGCCAGGAACCTTCTCACTCTCAAAGATAACAGACTACTTTCCAAACGGTCTAATGAGTTGGCTGTTAAGGATTCTCTGGCTCTCAGTGTTCAGTGTGCAGGTTCTGTGTCTAATATGGCCTAACGCCTATTTGCTCGAACCCGCCAAGTTGAATCATTGGCGGCTGAAGTGATGAGTCTCAAACAGGAGATTAGAGGGCTCAAGCATGAGAATAAACAGTTGCACCGGCTCGCTCATGACTATGCTACAAACATGAAGAGGAAGCTTGACCAGATGAAGGAATCTGATGGTCAGATTTTACATGATCATCAGAGGTTTGTGGGTTTGTTCCAAAGGCATTTATTGCCTTCGTCTTCTAGGGCTGGACCACGTAATGAAGCTCCAAATGATCAACCTCCGATGCCTCCTCCTTCTAGGGTGCTGTCCAGTACTGAGGCTCTGAATGATCCCCCTCCGGTGACTTCTCTTTCTGGGGCTCTGCCGACTGCTGAGACTTCTCCTAAGCAACCTTTGTGAAGGCTCCCTATTGTTTGTTTATTTTGACTCGTGTATATGTACATATTTGTAACTTCTTAGAGATATCAATAAATAAGCTTTGTTTCATTTCAACGTATTGTGTTAAATACACCAAAGCCTTCTTCACTAAGTTCTTTGAATTTTTCTTTTGTTGAAGCTTGTATGTTGAAGCTTTGTGAGTGGAACATGTAGGTTGAGGTAGTGTTCCCTTAATTTCCCGAGTGGGGAAAACTTCTCGATTGGAGACTTGAAAAATCCAAGTCACTGAGTCGGGTCGGCTATATGAATCTTAGAACGCCATTGTGCTCGATCCTGTGTCATGTCCTCCGTTAGATCCAAGTACTCTAAGTCTTTTCTTAGAGTCTCTTCCAAAGTTTTCCTAGGTCTTCCTCTACCCCTTCGGCCCTGAACCTCTGTCCCGTAGTCGCATCTTCTAACCGGAGCGTCAGTAGGCCTTCTTTGCACATGTCCAAACCACCGTAACCGATTTTCTCTCAGTTTGATGAAAACAAATTTTTTTAAATGATCAAAACAAACTGATCTGAATTTAGCTCTGTAAAAATGTAGCTCATACATGACTATTGTAATTGGCAATGTTCTAATAGAATTTAGCAATTTTGATTGATCAATATTTCATCGAGTGTCTCGCTACAGTATTTTATGTACAGAGTAATGATCTGTTACGGCCATATGCTTATCAGTTAGGAATGGTTGCCAACAACTAGACTGTACAATAGGCAAACCCATTGGGAGACAGAACTTACTTACAACTAGGATGCAACTGTGGAGCATCCCAACCCAATATAGTATTGTCATGTGTTTCAACTTTCTCTATATGGCAATGCTTGCTTGGTTTGTTTGTATTTTTTGTTTTTTGTTTTTTTTTTTTTTTTTGCAACAATGGTGTCCCAGTTGTAGATAAGTTTCTCTTTGCTAGTGGAGAGAGACTTTCCTACGTCTCTCACCATGAGTCCGTGACTTTCCAAGCTAATAACCCAATGCTATGTGGCACATGTCATCGCGTTTGATGGCATATCTGGATTGTAGGTAAGTTTTATTCACAATGAGTCTGCGACACTCCAAACTAATAACCCGATGCCATGTGAGAACGTGAAAACA